GGGACGAACTCCGAAGTTGTCGCGCAGTTGTTGACTCGGGTCCAACGTCGTCAACTGCCACACACGTTGACGACTCCGAAATCTTCGTGCAGGTGCCGACGCAGATCCGCTGACGCCAGCTGCCTCACAGTTTCGAAATCGTCGTTAAAACCGCAGCGGAAATAGTAACTCACGTTTAAACGTCGCGACAGCTCCAGCTGTCCGTTGCCCGGGGGGAGGGAGGTCACGGTCGATCGCGACCGTTCGAGCTAAGGATCTGGCGGTGCCGAAGGAGTGCCCCGTAAAACTATGGCCGCGAAGAGCAACTAACTAGTTCTCTTGGCCGGCCTACGCAACTCCTGGACCCCAAGACATCCTTCCTCGTCCCCCCCCCCCGAGGGGTACCGTATTACACTCTAAAAAGCAGGGTAGGCTAGGAAAGCAGCTCTGATACCAGGTGTTATGAATGAACTTGTCAGAGTGCGCAGATATCGAATAACGAGAATGGAAATTACAGAATATCTTAACAATGAAGTAGCGAGGCCTAAATAGGGGAAAACCTAGCTAGGCGGGGGGTTCGGGATGGGATGGCTCGGTGATGGCTACGATTGGAGCGGAGGCCGACTCGGGGGTGGTTCGGTGCGACGAATTAGGCCGAACAGGTTCGTCGCGACACCTTCGGGATGTACTCGCTAAAGTGCGAGTATAGAAAGGAATTGTAATTCCTTATAGTCACTCAAATTAGTACGCTTGTGTAGTATGCTTCTACCCGAAAGTAGCTTTGCCTGGGCCTTTTGTCGTCATCCATTTTCATCTCGTACACGCTAGGAACGACATTGCAAGATTCCAAGCAGTGAAGCGCCATAGACCACAAGCGCGCGGCTGAGAACAGGACGCCCTCGCCCACCCACAAATCCTCTTCTCCGCGGATCTTGTCTCTTCAGACCACTTGCAGCTCACAAACTCAATCTTGCTTTCCACGGATTCCTCCAGAGCTATCCCGCGCAATGCGCGGCCTCTCCTTCTTCCGAGCCTCCTCGGACGGGCCCCTCCCCCCCGCTACAAGCACGGCCACTTTAGGCCACGGCACTCGCGGCATCAGCATCGTAAGCGGCAGCAGCAGCAATCACAGCGGCGGCGGGGGGAACCGCGATGGCAGCAGCAGAAGTTTGTTTCCGGGCAGATTTAGCCAGAGGAACGCGGGGGCGGCCACGGCAACGCGAAGCACAGGCGTCGCGCCTGGAATGGCGGGGATTGGTGGGATCGGTGGCGCGGCGCCTCTTTCCGAGGCTCTCGTCTCCTCCATCCTTCCCGCGTCCCTTCGCGCTCTCCCCGCGCCCGCCCTCTCGCCGCGCTGCACGGGGTGCGCGCTCGCTGCTGCCGCGCTGCTGCTCGTCGCGTCGCTGCTCGTCGCCCTGCAAGCCACGCTGTTTCACCCCGTGCGTTCTACGCCCCCTTACTACGCGGATTTCTCACAAGCTTTCCCGACGCTTCAAGTCGTTGCACCTATTCCATCCCATCCCCTCCCTTCCCAACCCACCCGCCCACGTACTCACGCATGCTCCTCCCCCCTCCCTTTCCCAACTCCCTTCCCTGCTGACTCCTCACGCCATGCGCAGTTGCAATGCTTGAGGCCGGGGCAGCGCTGTGCCTCGCCCTGCTCCCGCGTCCACTCTAACCCCAACGCTGCTCGCCCTCCCTCCCCCTGCCGCCCGGTGTGCCTAGTCCCCCCTGTGCAGGCACAGCAGCGCGACCCCGTTGACTCGTTTGACCGCGTTGACCGCGGCTCCTTGCAGCCCTGGAGCACGTGGCCGTGGCGCTGGTCCCCCAGGGTGAATGCGCCTCTCGTGGCGCCACCGCTTGCAGCAGCAGGAGGGAGAGGAGGGGGGGGTTTTGGGGTTGTGGATGGGAACGGGCGAGGGGAATACTGGGGAGATGGGCTTGGTGCTGGCAGTGGAGGCGCTGCTGCTGGTGCTGCTGCTGCTGCTGGTGGTGCTGCTGGTGCTGCTGGTGGTGGCAGGGACACGGGCACGGTGGAAGATGGCACTCCAAGGTCATGCTCGCACGCCCTCCCTCGTCCTCGCCTTCCACCCCACTCAACCCTCTCGCCCCCCCCCTTTCTCCCTTCTCCCCTCCCTTGCTTTCTCTCTCTCCGTGTTTCTTCCCCCAGTCCCTCTCCTCACCCCATCTCTTGTCCTCCTCTCCCCACCCGCTCCTACCCTTCCCTCTGTTGTATTATCTGCACATTTTCCCTCCTCTCGAATGGTCCTTCGTATTAATCAGCAAGGCAGAACACACAGAGGTACTAAGCGTAAGCTAATCTAAACAAACAAACAAGACTCAACAAGCAACAAACAGGTAAGTACTACAACTTCTCCATCGCCTGCCCCTTCTCCCCACGACCCTATTGGCCGGTAGGGTCTTCCAGCAGTTGGTACAGCTGCTCCTCCCCTAGGCAGCCAAACGGTCCCTGCAGGCCGAGCTCGTCCGCGGCGAAGGCCTCGTGGGTCTTGTCGCGGAGGGCATTGGCCTGGGCGCGCTGGAGTGTGACGCTCCAGCGCTGCCGGTATTCCGTGAGCAGCCTGGCCACCTCCCTCGATTTTGGCGCTGCGTTGAACCGCCGCTTGCCCGCGAGCTCGGCACAGCTGCGGAGGAAGTCGTGTACTCCCGGGGAGGGGTAGCCGTATGTCTCGACCGCCATGGCGTGGAAGCCTACCCACGCGTTCCGTCGAGCGTACTTGTCCTCCTTCTTCGCGGCTTGCATCCTAGCCCCCCACCCCGGTGCCTTACGTGCGTATTCGTCCTGGTGAGAGACAGGGTCCGTCACGGTGATGTCGCACATGTGGACCTCGCCGGTGTCGGGATGGCGGATGCAAACATCCGCTTTCAGGTTTTCGACCGGTGAGTAAATTGTGGATTCCTTGTGCACCGTGTAGCCCGCCTCCGCCGCAATCCTTGCGCACTCATCACGAAGAGCATGGTGAGTGGCAATTCTCCCGCCGCCTTTCTCGCAACGCATTAGGTGGTTGGGGAGGCGGTGGTCCGGGAAGGTTGTGCGGTGACGGCAGTCGCAACGACGAGGGACAGGTAGGGGGAGGCCTAGCCGGAAGGAGGATGCGGTGGCGTGCTGCGGGGGGCCGAGGCGAAGAGCTGGGGTCAGGGGGATGGCCAGCAGCCAATCTCCTGCCCCGGGGCCGAGGAGTGATTGCAGGCGTTGGGTGTGGCCGAAGAGCGGCCGATTGCAGCCAATCCCTCCTCTCTCTCTCTATAAGCATCTGTTCTTCCCTGCCATGCCATGCATTTCCATGCCATACCTTGCCACACCTCACCTCACCATGCGACGCCACGCCACGCCATGCATGCGCATGTGGTGCAGGGCATCGGTGCAGGCCATTCTGTTCACCTTCTCCTCCTCATGGCCCGCATATCAACGCCCCTCCCACCAACAACCCCAGCGGAGGGGCAGGGGCGAGCAAGCCAGCAGCTCGGAAAGCAATGGCAGTGGCAGCAGCAGTGGGGGAGGCAGTGGTGGGAGCGACAGCAGCAGCAGCGGCGTGGATGTGCGCATGAGCGTGGAGCTGCTGCAATGCCTGCAGGTATGCCGCTACCCCATCCCTTCCCCTCCCATGCATCGGGTATGCCCTCCCTCGCCAACCGACAGCGCACCCGCTCTCCTCTCCTCTCCTCCCCCCAGCACCACCCCTTCATTGCCCCTTGTTAGAAATGACACACAGGTGCCAGTGATCCGCATGCTCTCCTCCGCACTGCCAGCAACAATCTGCTCAAGCTTCTCCTGTCTTCGCCTCAGTGCAGCCTCAGCGCTCTCCCCTCCTCTCTCTTGCTCGCAACCTGCCTCCCCCTTCCCCGGCTGACTGCTTCTCATGGTGCCGGTCAAAGCCAGGCGCACTTGACCTCATTGGCGCTGCATCCAATCGCTCCTCATCCCGTCTTTCTAACCTCTCCCCCCAATTGCTCTATCCGCATTCCATCCTCTTCCTTCCACCACTCCCTCTCCCCCCCCCCCTCCCCACTCTCCTCCCGTCCTCGTCCCCGTGTGCGCGGCACGAGGGGGCAGTGGGTGGAGTACTGGGTGCGGGCGGGCGTGCAGGCAGTGCTGTGGGCGGACGTGCTGTCGTGGGAGCACGTGCACCCCGACCACCCCTCCAGGGACCGCCACGCCCACATGCACGCGCAGGTCAGCGCTCCCTGCATGCATGCCATGGACGAGGGGCGGGGCGGGGCGGGGAGGGGCGGGGAGGGGAGGGCGGGGAGGGGAGGGAGGGATGGAGGGAGGGAGGGAGGGAGGGAGGGAGGGAGGGAGGGAGGGAGGGAGGGAGGGAGGGAGGGAGGGAGGGAGGGAGGGAGGGAGGGAGGGAGGGAGGGAGGGAGAGGGGGGGGGGGGGGGGGGGGGGGGGGGAGGGAGGGAGGGAGGGAGGGAGGGAGGGAGGGAGGGAGGGAGGGAGGGAGGGAGGGAGGGGGGGAGGGGGGGGGGGGGGGGGGGGGGGGGGGGGAGGGAGGGAGGGAGGGAGGGAGGGGAGGGGGGAGGGAGGGAGGGAGGGAGGGACGGACGAGGACGGAGGGAGGAAGGAGGGAGGGAGGGAGGCAGATGTAGGGAGTGAGAGGAAGAGAAGGGTGGAGGGGAGGGACACTAACAGTGCGTTTGTGTCTTGGATGCCTCTGCTGCCGCTCTTCGGCTGCTGATTCAGAAGAACCCATGCGCTACCATTACTCAAGTGTCCAGTCTGCACGTACTAGAGGGCGCTGCAGTGCTGTGGATTGAGGTACCATTGTTGAGTGAGGGTGGGGTAATGGTGAGGAGTCTCTTTGGAGGCCTTGTTGGCGTACATGCATGCAAGAAAGCCCGCGAAAGCCCCTAGTCGCCGTCACCCTGCTGCTCCAATCACCACCCATCCCATCCTCCCCGATCTTCATCCTCTCCCCCCCGCCTCTCCCCCCATCAGAAGCAGGCGCTGGTGCGCGCGTACGAGGGGGAGGGGCGCGTGGGGTTTCACCGCGAGGTGATGGGCGTGGGCATCACGAGAGCACACGTGGTGGAGCGCGTGGTGGCCATGGCAGCTCACAAGGTGCGCCTGCTTGCCCTGCTCGACTTGCTTGGCTTTTCTCAGCTTGCTAATGGGGTGTTTAATGAAGATGGGAGGGCGCATGGGTTGTTTGCATGAGCCTGAGTTTAGTGTGAGGGTTAAAGAACCATGAGGAAGTGGGCGAGGATGGGAGAAGACACAGGAGGGAGCTTCAGTGGGTAGTCCGTCCGTCATAAAGAAAAGTGGGTGGATAGATGGGTGATCCGGTTGTTTTTCGGGTGGCTGAATAAATGGCCGTACTGCTGTGTGCGCAAAGCTCACTGGAAAGAGTTCCAATGGCATCCATACGTCACATCTTCCTCCTCCCCTTGCCTCTCACCTCATCCCCTTTTGAGTCGTCACAATGTCACACGGAACCTTTTTTACAAGGAGAGCTATACTCGCATGGAGGTCACCAAAGACAGTAGGTATGATTTATTTCTGCTCATAAGTGCTTGTGTACATGTAGACCAGTTTTTGTTTCTAAAGTACAGCACAGTACTCCCTCCCTTGGCCTCGTGAAGGAATGACATGCATGGAGCCTTGGGGTTAGTATTTAGCCATAGTTTGCTTTCATTTCTATTTTGTGGTCTGAAGAAGGCTATAAGCCGAAACCAGTTACTACCAAATTTCTACACGTGGTTTGTTCAAGCAAACACCAACACCAACTTCGATCATCTAGCCAAACAAGTCACTGCCGCGTAAAAACATTGTCCCAACCTGGGGCTCCATCGTTCCCACACGCAGGCATACTTGACATGCTCCTCCTCCTCGCCTCTCCTCTCACCCTTGCCCCTCCCTCCCTCCACCCGCCTGTCAGACCACCGCAGACTGGCTGCTGATTGCCGACTCGCCGCGCGCCTTCCTCTCCCTGCCCTCGCACCCGCATTCTGGCTTCCTCTCCCGCTTCCTTGCACAGCAGCCAGACCATTTGCTGCAGGTAGGGTCGGGTGCTGGGAAAGGCTGGGCGAGCAAGGGGGAGGGATGGGGAAGGGACGGGGGTAGGATGAGGTTGGGATGTGGATGGGCGAGCCATATGTGCAAGTGGGGATGGCGAGAGCAGGGCAGTGGGCAGTGGGCAGTGGGCAGTGGGCAGTGGGCAGTGGGCAGTGGGCACTGCGGGGTGTTATGGGATGGGAATGGGCCACTTTACTCTTTTCAGCCCAGCGTTCACCATCTCCCTTCTAACTTGTTTTCCCAATTAGATGCACATTCAGTTTCAGATGTCAAGTAATCTCCCCTTCTGTTTCCCCCGCTTTCCCCCTTCCCGCCCCACCCTTTCACCACCCCACCCCTTTCTCCTCTCCCTCTTCCTCCGGCTCTCCCCACTTAACCACACCATCCCTTCCCCAACCGCCTCGGCCGTGTCTCAGGTGCGCCCATCCGTGACATACCTGTCATCGCGGGCGCTGCTGCTGCCCTTCTCCTTCTCGCCGCGCTCCTTGTTCTCCCACGGGCCTGTCAGCGATGTGCTGCTGGACCCTGATGAGCAAGAGCAGGAGAGCACGGACCATGACCATGGCGGAGGGGCAGACGTGGAGGAAGGGGGAGCGGGCGGGGATGGGGGAAAGGCGGACGGGAATCTCACACAGGCGCAAGAAATGGAGGGTGGGGAATTAATCACGGGGAAGACGCTCGTGAGGGATCAGAGAAGGAGCGATGAATCACCTGGCAGTGTCACTGCTGCTGCTAATGGTGGCGGTGCTGCTGCTGGTTCCGCTGCCAAAGCTGGCATGTTGACTGGCAGCTCTGCTGCTCCCATGCACCCTCCCATGGCTGCCCAGCATTGCTTCCGCCCCCTGGCCTCCCTTGCTCTCATGAACACCGGAGAAGCAGGCAGGGAAGGGGAGCAAGGGGTAGATGGAGGGATGGACGGGGGAATGGGGGAAGCAGAAAGTGGATTCCAAGGGGAAGGGGAGGCCCAGCCAGCAGCAGTGCTGGTGATTGCTGTGCGAGCAGCTGCTGTGCGTGCGCTGACACCGACACGTGACTTGCACCACCGCCGCCACCACGATGATTATGATGATACTGACAGTGCTGCGGATGATGCCAGTGCTGCTGCTGCTGACGGTGGTGCTGCTGGGAACAGGTCTGCACTCGCGCAGCTGCTCTTCTCCTCGCCGTCAGAACCAGCTGCCCAGTCAACCCAGCAGCTGCAGCAAGAGCAGCAGTCGGAAGCACAGGGACTGGTTGCAGTGGTGCTGTCAGCCCATGGCTCTGCCAGCAGTAGCAGCAGCAACAGCAGCAGCAGCGATGGCAGGGGCGACGGGATGGAATCAGCAGGGGAGGCAGCGGGCAGTGCATGTCCCGGTGGTTGGATGCATGGCAGCAACCCGAGCAGTGGGCTCCTGGAGTTCCAGGTCATGCATTCATGCATTCATGCATTCATGCATTCATGCGTTCATGCGTTCATGCATTCATGCATTCATGCATTCATGCGTTCATGCGTTCATGCATTCATGCATTCATGCGTTCATGCGTTCATGCATTCATGCATTCATGCATTCATGCGTTCATGCGTTCATGCATTCATGCGTTCATGCTGCGTTCATGCGTTCATGCGTTCATGCGTTCATGCTGCGTTCATCCTGCGTTCATGCGTTCATGCGTTCATGCGTTCATGCGTTCATGCGGTCATGCGTTCATGCGGTCATGCGTTCATGCGGTCATGCGGTCATGCGGTCATGCGTTCATGCGTTCATGCGTTCATGCGTTCATGCGTTCATGCGTTCATGCGTTCATGCGTTCATGCGTTCATGCGTTCATGCGTTCATGCGTTCATGCGTTCATGCGTTCATGCGTTCATGCGGTCATGCGGTCATGCGGTCATGCGGTCATGCGGTCATGCGTTCATGCGTTCATGCGTTCATGCGTTCATGCGTTCATGCGTTCATGCGTTCATGTGTTCATGCGTTCATGCGTTCATGCGGTCATGCGTTCATGCGTTCATGCGGTCATGCGGTCATGCGGTCATGCGTTCATGCGTTCATGCGTTCATGCGTTCATGCGTTCATGCGTTCATGCGTTCATGCGTTCATGCGTTCATGCATTCATGCATGGGTCACACATGCGAGTGTCAAGGGAGTGCCTGCTTGCTTTCATGCCTGCACTTGATAAGTTGGGGAGCGCATGGGGACGGGAAAGGGTGGGGGGGTGGTGGGAGGGAAGGGAGGGGGTGTTGCAGAATGCTGTATGACTGTGTCTGGTTCTTTGTTCCCGTTGTACTGGAATCATCAGCCCTGGGCAAGCATGGCATGCACCCCAAGCGGTAGCAGTTATGATGCATGCATGCAAGTGTCAAGCCAATTACCACATGGAGTCATGCATGCTGTTCCTAACACAACAGCCTCCTCTTCCCATTCCCCCTCCCCCCTTCCTCACACCCTCTTCTTGACCAAACCCTTCCTGTGAATCCTTTCTCCTCTTCCCCCTCCTATCATTTTTTTTTTGGTCTACCTAAACTATGCCTCGGGCAATATCTCGTAGCCTCTTTTCCTTCAACTACCGCACCTCCCCAATCCCCTCTCCTCACCCCCTCCCCCTCTTCCCCCGCTGGGCACACCCCCTGTTGCCTCCACCGTTCAGGCGGTAGCAAGGGCAGTGCTCCCACGTGTGCGCATGCAGGCGGCACGGGTGGCAGCAGCGGTGGTGCAGGGAGCAGTGCAGCGCCTGCAGGCTGGCGTGCACCGCATGCAGCAGCAGCTCAACGACGCTGAGAGGAGGGCGGCGGAAAAGAGGTGAGTGGAGCGGTGGTGAAGGCAGGGTGGGTGGTGGAGAGGAGGGGCTCGCTCTGATGATGGGGGAAGGTGGCGGGTGGGTGGACCGTGGAACGATTTACAGAGACACCAGAGACACCAGAGACACCAGCAAGGAAGGCGGATTTGTCCAGGCGAGCTAATCTGATATCTGCAGTTCGGCAGGCTCACTGGCAGGGCAGCATTGCAGCCTGTCTACCTTGTTTGGAGCAACCCCAATGCCACGACTGCTGTGAAGAGGTTGCTTGGAGGCTATTGGGCGGGGAGGAGGATGGTTGGGTGCGCGCTGAGTGTGCGCGCTGAGTGTGCGCGCTGAGTGTGCGCGCTGAGTGTGCGCGCGCTGGCAACAGTGGAGGCGATTCTGCAGCCGTGCACCTGTATAAACAGCTCTTCCATGCCCGCCTGCGCACGCGGAATAAGCGCGGATGTCCCCAGGGGTGCTGACGTGCTGGGCGAGTATCACTCGAAGTGCACAAGTTGTTTCCAGTCCAGGTGCTGGGGTGCTGGGGTGCTGGGGTGCTGGAGGTGTTCAGATTCCCATGTGGCACTGTGGGGTTGTGTCCCTCGCCCTCCTCCTGCCAAAGCCGACGGGTGCGGCTGCAGCTCTCAGCCTCCCCCCTTCCACACAGAGGCTTGAGGCGTCTCGAAAATGCACCAAGCTGCACCCCTCACCGTATGCTGGCACGGCTGGTGGGCTGTGGGAACTCACGGCAACAGCATTTTCAGAGCCTCCATTGTGGTATTCTGGCAAGCGCAACGCAGCACGTGGGGTTGTGCTGACGCGGGGAAGCAGGGCTGTGTGGACGGACGCCACAAGGCGTTGCGTGTGTGTGTGGCAGGCAGAGAGAGAGCGCTGTCACAGGAGCGCTCTTGCTGCATGCATGCAGCAGAGGCACTTGTGCAGAAGTGGAGGCTGGAATCGTCCGCAGAGCGACCAACGGGGGCTTCGTTGACTCCGCTGCATGCTCGTGGCGTGCTTGCTTTTCTTGATTAAACTGTCACCTGAGTGTTCCCTCTTTATGACTCCAGTACGATTGTCTCACGACTCTCTGCCCACCTGCCGCATCCAGGCACGACCACTTGTGTCCATACTAGTGTCCATGTTCTGTGTTGACTGCTGAGCTAAGGCATCCTGTATCCCGCACCTGTGCTGTGCCGTTCGTCCCTTATGCATGTGGCCATGTGGCAGGACGAATCTCTCGGCCATATTCACCACTGTGCTGCAGCCATACAGCAGCACCCACCTGGAAGCACCCACTGCTGACAATGCTGCCTCTGCCGGCACCACTGGCCTCTCTAACACCGGCATCGATGTACCTGCAGCAGCAGAAGCAGAGCAAGTAGCAGCAGCAAGAGCAGATGCAGTAGCGCCAGCAGCCGGTGCAGCAGGGGAGGGAGAGAGCAGCGTGATTTTCGTGGCAGCGATGGCGTACGCAAGGGTGTATCGGGAGGACCGGTTCAACTTCAGTGCGTATGAGATCTGGCAGGTCCGTCTGCCTCACGCTCACGTGCTCCTTCTTCTCTCTGCTTCTCCTGCCCTTGCCCAAGCCCTTGGTCCGTCATCGTAGTGCATTGCATCTCACCACATGCTCCTTCCCCGTCATCCTGCCACTCCTCCCTACTGCACCCCTAGCTCTACTTTCCAGATCTCCTTTCATACCCCCTCACTGTTGTTACCTGCCCCCTCGTTTTTTCCCCACGCATCGCTCTGTGCGGGCAGTGGTTGGAGTATGGGCGGTATGCGGGGGTGCAGCATGTGTTCTGGTACGACACTGCACACTCGCAGGAAGAGAGCCAGGTGCGTGCCTCACTCACACCATGCGCGGGTTGTGGGGTGGGAGTGTGGAATTGGGAGTGTGGTGGGTGGGAGTGCGGGACAGAGAGTGTGCAGCGAGTGTGCGGGACAGGGAGTGTGGGACGGGTGTGTGAACTTGATAGTTTCATTCAGGTGCAAGAGACTCGTTTTGCCGGTAGGAGTTGTATGAGTGAGGTCACGTGTGGAGGTGGGATGAGGGGCGGCCAAAGCACAGAGAGGAAGCACAGAGAGGCATGTCACCATTGGTGACCTCGAGACGGATGCCTTCACATCTCAGCACACTCCACACAGCTCTGTTTGCTGCTGTGCTCACCAGAGGCATGCATGCAACACCTTTCTTCCTTCTCACCACCCCCACCTCTCCCCCTCCCCCTCTCCCCTCTTTCCCCACTGTCCGTTGCCCCTCCACCTCGCCATTTCCCCGGCCGTGCATCTCCCCCATGGCATCAGGAGGCAGCTCTGGCGCCATACGTGCGGGCGGGCATGCTGACGTACCACCGCTTCTACCGCCTCTTCCCCGAGTGGCATGACATTCACTACGAGCAGGACTCCTCCGTCTCACACTTCCTCAAGGTGCCGCCCTGCTGCCCGCATGCCTGTCTGTGACGGGCAGGTAAAGGAGGAGGTGGGCAGGTGAATGAAATGTGTTAAGTATAAAGTTTGGTTGACCAAGGCCTTTCCCCACAACCCTCCTCTCTTATCTAGCCCAAGCTGCGGCCTTTTGCACAGCACCCAATGCCCCTCCCACGACCAAGTAGCTTCCACTTACCCTCCCATAATCACCACCATAAGAAAAATGTTTGTATACATGTACATATCCTACAATTCTTGTTCCAGCCTTCGTCTTTGTTTTTCCTCCACGTGCCTTGTGCTTCATGCATCGCCCATGTCCCTCTGCCTCGTCCTCGCCATGCGTGCAGACGTACGGCACGCGGGTGCGGTGGGCGGTGCTGTGCGACATAGACGAGTACATGTTCAGCCCCTCCGACACTCTCCCGGGCTTCCTCCTGCGCTTCCTCACACACCACGTGCTGCCTGCCAGCAATACCACCGCGCAGGTGGGGTTGAGAGAACGGCTGTGGGATGGAGACGGGTTTGCCTCTCATTCCTTGTGCATGCATATCAGTTGTGTCCCTTCTGCCCACCCCCCCCCCCTTCCTCCTCCTCCTCCTCCTCCTCCTCTCCCTCCTCCTCCTCCTCCTCCTCCTCCTCCTCCTCCTCCTCCTCCTCCTCCTCCTCCTCCTCCTCCTCTTCTTCCTTCCCCCCATGCTTCTTCGTTTTCCGTCCTCCTCGCTGTCAGTTTCACCCCCTTCTACCCCTCAGCTTGTTTCCCAACCAACCTACCTCTCACCCTTCTCCCACCCCGATGCATCCATACACTCCCCACCACACCCTCTTCCGCCCCCCGTTTCCAACCCCCTCTCCTGTCCCCGTCTCTCTCCCTCCCCCCTTCCCCATCTCTTTCCCCGACCAGGTGCTCGTGCAGAATCTCTTTTTCCAGGGCGCGCCCACATGTGCGCCACCATGCCTCCTAGTGGACGCGTATACGCAGAGGAGTGCGCACACGGAGGGGCCAGTGGCGCGCACCAAGGCCATTGTGCGCGTGGCCCAGGTGCAAGGGAACTTTGGCGGCAACCCGCACAAGTTCTGGATGAAGGGCGAGCCCATTGGCGGGGAGGTGGGGGAGCTGCCGCTGGGAGGGCAGGCGGAGGGTGGAGGGGGAGGGGAGAAGGGTGGGGAACGGAAAACCGAGGGTGGGGAGGGTAGCAGAGAGGGAGAGGGAGGTGAGGATGGGGAGCGGGGAACAGGGGGTGTGGAGAGCGGCGGGAAGGGCAGCGTGACGGTCGTTGCACACCCCTCATTGCTGCGCATGAACCACTACTGGGGCTTGAGAGCTGTTGACTTCAACCCGTGGCCGGAGCAGGACCGAGACAAGCTCATTCCAGATGCGTCCATAGGGGTGAGTGTTGAATTGGCATGTGGGTGTGCTGGTCTGGGTTTGCACGTGCAAACTGTTCCATCCGACCAATCCTTCTTCCCCGCACCCACTCCATCTTCCCCCCGTTGTCTGTCGCCCTTTTCCCCCTCCCCTTCCTGCTATTTGCTGCAGCATCTTCCATTGTCCCTTGCTGCTCATCCACCCCCTCATAATCCACCATCACACTTGCCTTCCCTCCCCCTGCCCACATACCATACATCCCCGCTGCCAGCCAATTGCGGATGCCATTCGGCCCAGACTTATGCCTGCTTGGAAGTGGTGCGTGGAAGAGAAAACACTTCAAGATATACACCTTTTGAAGGCATCAATTGCAGATTCAATGCAGCAATGCAGGATGCTACAGACAGCAATTGAATGGATGCAAGCATACGGTAATTTGATTGCCTGATGTCATTCTGTCAGCCTTATTTTGTTGGCCAAGTGTGACGTACGGTAAGGATGTCTTTATTCTCCCCGATGTACGGTATATCAGCGAGTCATTGAGTCAGCGGTATACTGGCCTGTTTCACACACTACGATTAACCAGTAACACCTGTTGCAGACGTCAGTCCCACTGACTGTGCTGCTTGATGATGTCAGCAACTTGTTTATGTAGACTCCATCACAAGCAGTTCTATGCTATAAAAAACAATCAGCACAGCACATACAAAGGCATCTCGCAGCCAAGAACCCAAGAAAAGAAACCCAACCTACCTTACCTACAAGCTATAGGGTACTCCCAAACCCCCCCAACTCCGGTAGGGCACTATCAGGCTGGGCCCCACCAGCTGCTGATGCCCAGCAGGGCTGGGCCTTTCACTCCTCACTCTTCTCGCCTTACACGTGCTTCTCCTTCTCGCGCTTCTCCTCCTCGCGCTTCTCGCCCTTCCTCCCCTTCTTCCCCTTCTTCCCCTTCGTCCCCTTCCTGCCCTTCATGCGGCTCCTGCGCATGTCCGCCACGTCAGCACCCACATCCCCCTCCGCCAGCAGGCGGAGAAGGTCGACCCCCACCATGCTGCGAGCAGGCATGCCACCGGAGCCCGCCTGCTCGCCCCCACCGCCTGCAACTGAATCAGCGCCAGTGTTGGGAGGAAAGTCTGCACCATGTGCCGGCCCTCCAGCTGCTGCCGCGCCTTAATTCATCTTCTCCTTTTTGGTCTTCCTGCATTTCTTCCCCTTCTTTCTCTTCTTGCCCTTCTTCTTCAGGCTCCTGCGCAAATCCGCCACGTCAGCACCCACAGCGCCCACCGCGAGCAGGGAGAGCAGGTCGTCCTCGGCCAACATACGAACAGCGCCATGAGCCGATAGCTCGCCCTCCTCCGCGACAGCGCAATTCGTTATTGTCACATCCACGTCCTCGCTTGCGTCTTCTGTGAGAGCCTTGCCCGTGGCGAGGAGAGTTTCGTCGGGGCTGGCGGCGACAGTGGCGAGAGCGGAGTTGAATTCCGCCGAGGCCGCCAGGTGCGCTGTGGCGAGCGCACAGAGCAGCAGCAGGAAAGCGCGAAAGCAGCGTCATGGCTTAGAGAACTCAACCTGGACTGGTATCAGATTCGGCAGTGAATCTGCTCAAAAGAATTGGAGGAAGAGAATCGGTGGGAGGATGGCACTAGAGCAAATGGGCAGGGTACATACGGACTTCCGCAGGCAGGCACAACAATTTAAAAGACGGAGACATCGCCTCTGCTCATAATCTAAACACACTAACCCTCCCAACACTCTTTTCCTTTCCCACCTTTCCTTCCTCACTCCCTCTAACTCGCCCTCTCCTCCCCCCTCCCCCGCCCCCTCTCTTTGGCCTGGCAAGGAACGGAGCACCAAGGGCCTGGGCAATAGCTTCTCGGCCGAACTTGCGCAGAATGTATCTCGCGTCCAGCCGCCCAGCAGCCACCAGCTGGACATCTGTGGGGAAGCCCCGCCCCTGCCTCTCCACCACGCCCTCCCTCACCGCCTCCTCCCACACTGCCCTCTCCTCCTCCTCGTCCCATTCTAGAAGAGGATCAGGAGGAGTGATGGGAGGCGGTGAGCGGGCGGGTTGACCTGGGGTGAGAGGCTGGGAGGAGGGCTGGTGAGATGGGTGGGGAGTGAGTAGCTGAGTGGAGGGTGGTTGGGGGGACGGGGGGAGCAGGCCCCAGTGGCGGAGGAGGAAGGAGCGCACGGCAGCAGCAGCCACATGCTCGTCTGCCCAGTGGCCCCGCCCGCGCTTGCTGAGGCGCACCCCCAGATAGTCTGCCACTGCCCCTGGGCCCCCACTGCGCCGCACTGCTGCCACCAGCTGCTCGCCCTCCCAGGCACCTGCTGAGCCTTGGAGCATGGCAGATGCACTTGCAGGACCACCCTCCTCTATGCCCCCGCTTCGCCGCTCCGATGCCACCAGCTGCCCGCAATCACGGGCAGAGGCATGGGGCGCGACAGAGAGAGAGTCTTGTGACCTGGACTCCTCCGATCGAGCTTTTTGGTTTGCTGGCGAAGCGGTGAGGGCAAGTATTTGGGAGGAGGTGGGGAAGGTAGCGAGGCCGTGTGTGAGCATGAGTGCTCTCACCCTGCCTGCTGTCGCCTCCAGCATCTGCTGCCGCGCTCCCCGCCCCACCCGCCTCCTCTGCCTGCCGTTACCGCCAGAGCTGCTCCCACTGTTGCTGCTCACACTGCTGCTGCTTTCATCCCTACCACTCCCCTCTGATTGAGAGCGAGCGTGAGTGTCAGTGTGAGCAAGATTGTTAATGTGAGACTGATTGTGAGTGTGAGTGTGAGTGCGACTGTGAGAGTTAACGTGAGCATGAGTGTGAGTTTGAAGGTGCAAGGTGCCACCTTTCCAGCGCACCACCACACTCTCTAGCCCGCCCCAGCACCCACTCTCACGACCCAGCTCCCTGGCCACGAGGCGGTAACCACCATGCAGCACAATGGCATGGTGCAGATGGTACCGCCGCGCACCCACCACATCCCTCACACGCGGCATCACCGCACTGCCTGCCGCACTCGCCACCACCAGCCCATGCCCGTCATCAAACACACTCCTGCTGCCACTGCCCCCAGCTTCCCACCCAACGCTCCCGGTGGTTTCACTGATGCTGCTGCTGCTGCTGGTGAATGCGGTGGCAGCGGTATCTGAGGGCCAACGAGTGGCTCGTTGCAGCAGCTCGGAAAAGGAAGGCTCAGCTGTTTCACCAGCAGCAGTACCACCAGTAGCAGCACTACCATCGCCACCACTGCTATGTTCATGAGCAGCATCCAAACCACCCCCAATATCACCACCATCAGCAGCAGCACTGCGACGCGCGCGAGATGCAGCGAGAGCAGCAGCTCGGGCAGCAGCAGCGGCGGCGGCCATGGCTTCACGCACCGCCTCCTCATCCCTCAGCACCGCACTCAACGCCTCCCCTGACAGGAAATTGCGCAGCCGCACCCGTCCCAGACACAACCCTCCCTTGGACCCTCCCCGTGCTCCTCCCTCTGCTCCCCCCTCTCCATTCTCCATGTCACCGCACTCCACCACCCAGCACCGCGCCACAAACGCCTCGATCTCCTCGTCCACGTGCCCCAAGTCCTCCCAGAACCCCGTTGGGCGGCGCCGCGCAGCAAACCCCAGCGCCTGCGCCACTGCCAGCTGGCCGCCGGCCGCGCTGATGTCAGCGATGAGATCATGCCGGCCGGCTGCCCTGAGCTGGCGGATAGTGGGCATGACCGGGGCGGGGGCAGGGGGGATGCTGGAGGTGGAGGGGGTGTTGAAGCGGGGGGATGTGATGGGAGTAGGGGGTGTGTTGGGGGCTGTGGGGAGAGAGGTAGAATGCCGCTGCTGCTGCTGCTGCTGCTGCTGCTGCGCCGCCAGCTGAGCACAGAATGCGAGCAGCTTGGGGCGGAGGGCGTGCAGGCGCACGGCCTGCCAGCCCAGGTCCAGCAGGCCTGGCGGGGGCGCGATGGTGAGGGCTGCGCGGTGGGGGTGCACACCCACTAGAATGGCCGCCTCCAGTGGAATCAGATGCTCCACTGGCGGCAGGGGCGCGGGGGAGGTGTGGGAGGTGTGGAAGGCAGGAAAAGCGGGGGAGGCGGATGAGGTGGGGTAGGAAGGAGGGGTAGAGGAGGAGGAAACGGTGGTCCAGTCAGCGTCTTCCATGCTGTCCTGCCACGTCAGCGTGGATTCGCCTTGTCCTTTTGCCCGTCTGCGGCCTCTGCTGCTCCCCATGTGCGCAGCAGGAGGGGCTTCCCCCACCACGCGCATCACATACGCGCGGATGCCCTCACCTTCCGCCCTCCTCCTCCCTCTCCTCATCCACTCCTCCATCTCCCCCCCAACTCCCACTGCCTCGTCCCTTCCCATCCCTCCTCCGTCCCCCCGCTTTCCCCATCCATCTCCCCACTCTCCTCTTCCTCCCCCTCCACCTCCTCTCCAACCTGCAACCCAACCCAAGCACCGAGGCCACCACCAGCACCATCGCCATCACGGCCCATGGCCTCTGCAGCCCCACCCACAGCAGCCACTTCAATCACCTCCTCCACTCGCCCCACCACCCACCTCCTCCCCTCATACGTCCCCTTCTCCTCGCACTCCCAAGCCCCCTCGGGATCGCCGATTGTCTCGGAATACAGCTCGGCGGTACTGGGCGCGGCAAGCTCAACGCGCCACCCCTCGATGCTGATCAGCCCTTTCAGCACCTCCTCCCGAACGTTTTTCTCTGCCGAACCGACCAAACCTGCCTTTCGAACTTCTCCTTTCGTTGGTTTGGACTTACGTACCAACCGACGGGCCTCCCGAACCTCCTCCGTACCCCATCCTCGCGATGTAGCTTCGGCTCGGCAAGAACAAGCGTCCGAGGATGGTAAGTCTCTTCTGCCGCCCAGTTTCGGTAAACGCGGCCGCTTAGGATCGATTCCGACTCGGACGGGGAACGCGGGAGGAGGAAATGTGAGAATGGAGCGGTGAGCGCGACGCGCGAGGACGCGGGAGTGAGGGAGAGTGAGAGACATGGGAAAAAAGCGGGTGGTGATGCGGTATGAGAGTAATTTGTAATAGATTTCCCATAAAAATACCTTGATTTTATCGTGCGCCTTGTTGTGCGCCTTTGTCTTTCTGTTCGCTTCTGTTATTGCAGAGTGCGCAGTAAAACGAATAACGAGAATGTGAACTACTCAATGACGGTAGAAGTGACGGGAATTTATAAGGGGAATCCTAGCTAGGCGAAGAAATCGGGCTAGGGTGGCTCGGAAAGTGTTGCGATTGGAGCGGTGGCGACTCGGAAGTGGTTCGGGGCGGAAATGTAGGCCGAACCGGGCTGACGCGTGGTGTTCGGATTGTACTCGCTAAAATGCGAGTACAGTAAGGAATTGTAATTCCTTACACTCTCCCACCTTCCAAATAAGGCAACCCTGTATGTAGACGAAGCCTTCAATGGCGAGGATTCCGTTGATATTCAGCCCATGTAAATCCGACGGCTGAAGTGCCTTGAACAATTTAAATTGAAAAGGTTGGATTATAGACCGTCGATGAAGGGTGATCCCGATCTGACAGCTGCAGATGGCCTGGCCCAAATTGAATTGGAGGTTGGAATGTGGGCCGTAGATGAAGTTTGATTTCGATCTGACGGACGCGAACACTGCGGAGATTCACTCTACAACGGTAGTGAGCTAGACTACGGGGTAGGCACGAACCGCTATGAGTGATCGTAGCTTTGCTTAGTTCCTTAGCGCTTGCGCATACACGGGAGAAATCGGCAAGAGTTTCCACTAGCAAAGTTGAGAATACAAAATTATTCAATCTAGCAATGACAGAATGACTACATCAGGCACCTAGCAACCCTGCAGCTAGCCTGGTCGACTGCCAGCACAGCTCGGTCGACCGCCTGCCAGCGTTGCGTAGAGGAGCCGCGCCAGCACTGCAGAAAGGCGACCTGCCAACACTGCAGGTCGACGGCGTGCCAACGCTGCAGCAAAGCGGCTGTCCAGCGTTGCCCCGTAGAAGACAGCAATGCGCATGCTCACAGGTGCGCGCAGACGATTGGCCCGACTTGCCTCGTTGGGCATCCGTCGGCTGTTGTCTGCGCCTGACGAGCCACATCGACTTCGGGATACCATTCCGAAGTCGCCTTCGTCATCGCGATCTCGACGACGTTCGCGTGCCTCCGCAGAACTCGTCGAGCAGGTTACCCGGTCGACCTGGACACCACCAGGTGCTCCCCGTCGACCACCAGGTGCCTCCGGTCGACCACAGCTCCCGTCGAGCTACCCATTCCGTCGACCAGAACTGCTCCATCGACCTCCTGGTCGAGCTGCAGGTCGACGGGATGCTTCGCGGACCTCCCGGTCGAGCTGCAGGTCGACGGGATGCCCCCCAGTCCTCCCGGTCGAGCTGCAGTTCGACGGGATGCTCTAGAGACCTCCCCGTCGAGCTGTAGGTCGACGGACTGCTCCGTCGACCCCCTGAACGGCCCACCCATCGCCCAGGCCAGTCAGTTGCGCCCGTCGAGCACCCCTGGTCGACGGAAGCTCCACAGTGACATCCTGCAGCTCGACGAAGCCCGTCGAGCAGCTCCTTCACTGCGAACGGTCGGCTGCTTCACCCGTACATCCGACCAAGTCGTCGGCGTTGCCCAAGCGAGGGCGGGGCCAACACTCCATTCCCGTTAACACTCCCCTGCCGCGCTCACGCTTGGGCCTCCAGCCCACACGGCAGTACTCCACGGAGAAAACTCGTCCTCGGCGTGCACCCCACACACAGCACGCCGTCACCGCACCAGCCATGCAGAAGGGCACGGCGCCTACTGCTGCACCTCGTCGTAGCCGTCACCGACGTCGGCCAGACGAACTTGGCCGATGGCGACAGAGCACCGGTTGAAAGCCGGAAAATGCAGCGCCTTCGTCAGGAAATCCGCCGGCTGCTCGGTGGTCGGGATGTACTTCAGCTTGAACTTCCCGCGCCTCACCATGTGCTGCAGCCAGGCGTAGCGTCGCTCCATGTGCTTGAGGTTGCCCGTCAGCCCCAAGCCCTCAGCGACCGTGATTGCCGACTTGTTGTCGACGCGGAGGATGGTCGGCTTCCCAGCGTCGAGCAGCTTGAATTCCGCAAGGAGGAAACGAAGTCGACGCCCCTCCTTGCCAGCATCCACGGCCGCGACGTACTCCGACTCGGTCGAGGAGAGCGTCGCGCACTTGATGCGCGAGCTCGACCAGGAGACAGCGGCCCCTCCATAGACGAACACGTAGCCGCCCGTGCTCGTCCGCTTCTGCTTGTCGCCCGCGTCGTCGGCATCCACATAGCCGATCAGCTCCAGCGACTCTGGTCCACCGCCGAACTCCAAGGCGGTGTCGCGGGTGTCGCTGAGGTAGGCGAGGCAGCGGTCGACCTCGCGCCAATGCTGGTCGCTCCTCACCGTGAGGCCGCTCCCCAGCTTGCTGCAGGCGAAGGCGATGTCCAGCCTCGTCGTCGTCGCCGTGAACTGCAGCGAGCCGACCTTCTACCGGTACTCCTCCTCCTCGCGCTCCTGCGCCTCCTCGTCGTCGAACGTCAGCTCGGCGTAGGCGTCGACCGAGACCGGCGTCTTCGGGACTCGACCGCCCTGCTCCTCGTCGATGAAGCGCCTACGCACCTTATCGGCGTAACCCTGCTGGTGAAGCCACAGCTTCCTCGCCGGCCTGTCGCGGACGATCTCCAGCCCAAGGTACTTCACCACCGGCGAGATCTCCCGCAGCTCGAAGGCGGCCTCCAGCAGCTCCTTCAGCTCCTTCAGCATCGCGGTGCTGCTGCTGGCGGCGAGCAGGTCGTCGACGTAGACCAGCACCCAGCAGGTCACTCCGTCGTCGCCGGACTTGAAGTAGAGCGCCTCGTCGACCTGGCTTTTCTTCCAGCCTGCGCCCAGCAGCACCCCGTCGAGAGCCCTGTACCACAGCAGCGGCGACTGCTTCAGCCCGTAGAGGCTCTTCAGCAGCTTACACACCCGGCCAGTCCCGTCGTCGAAGTAGTCCGGCTGGTACATGTAGAGCACCCTGTCGAGCTTGCTCTGCAGGAAAGCGTTCTTCATGTCGAGCTGCATCAGATGGAGGTCGAGGACGGCGACGATGCTGAGGAAAATCCTCAGCGTGACGTAGCTGCTCATCGGCGAGTACATCTCGTCATAGTCGGCGCCGTACACCTGTGTGAAGCCCTTCACGACCAGCCTCGCTTTTTCACGCTCGACGGTGTCGTCGATGCGGTACTTGGTCGTCAGCACCCACCGGTTCTTCATGATGTTCACTCCGCGTGGGCGTTCGACCAGCTCCCAAGTGCCCATGCCGATGAGGCTGCGGATCTCCTCCTCCATGGCGGCCTTCACCGCCGGACCCTTCCAGCTCGCCAGTGCCTCCTTCACCGTCATCGTGGCGATGTCCCAGCGGTGTTCGGGGTCAGCATGCACGTCGGGGTCGAGCTCCGGCAGGTCTTCATCCTCCTCGGCGTCGTCGTACAACAGGTCGTCGTCGACCTCGTCGTACACCGTGGTGAAGGCAGCTGGTGGCAGGCAGGCGTGGGCGTGGTAGCTCAGCTTCTCCGGCGGCCGTCGAGCTCGACCAGACCGTCGCAGCTCCGGCGCAGGCTTCTCGACCGGAACCTCCACCACGTCGCTGTCGGTGGACTCCTCTCCCGCTGACAGCTCCCCTTCCTCGTCGACATCGTCGTCGTCGACCAGCTGCTTCGACTCTTCGACCGGCTGCTCGTCTGCTGCTGACTTCGACAGCTCCCCTGTCGACCGCCATGCCTGCTGCTCCCCTGTCGACTGCACGCCAGCTGCTGCCTCCTGTTCGACCGGCTCCCCTGTCGTCGACGGCTTCCGATTCTGGTCGACGAGCTTGGCGCCTTGTCGACCGCCGGCGATGCCACTGGCCGGCGCTACAGGCGACGCCTCACGGCTCCCCTCATCGCCGGTGGCCGACACAGGTGTCGAGGCAGACCGATCTGCGACGGGGAAGGGGAAGGGAGGAGCAAGAACAGGGGGAGGCGGAGGAACCTCCACAACATCGTCATCAGCAGGCTCGTCGACTTCGGCGAGCAGGGGGTCCAGCGCCTTCGAGGTGTCCGTCGGCGAGTGCGCCTGCGTCCGCCCCGACGCCGGCCCATACTTCGTCTTCCACACCTCCAGCGACAGCGTC